AATCCAGACTGTCCCTATTTCATCAAGTTACATTTAATTTTATTTAACTATTTTCATCACACCTCAGTAAGCTGAACGCACTGTTCTATTTCTGAAGAGATGAATCTGTTTCATCATTGCTGCTTGCCTGACTCCACATGTTATATACGAGATATAGGCAAAGCTCACAGCAGTTGTCAGATTATTACAGCAGTTCTCACAAGAGTGGAATATGGCATCAAGGTTAAAAAAAAAAAAAGTGATTGCTAACTCCAGGATTCTACAACATAAAATAGAAATTTTATTCTTGATTGGCATAATAAACTGTTTTTACAAAAAGACATCTAATAGTATATGTGATTAAAAGTCATTTATATGTACAATGAAGTTATTTTAAAATCCATGAGCATTTACAGCCTCCACAAGTTCATAAAGATTCTTACTCATTAAAAATGAAAATAACAGATAACAGGGAGAAAGATGTAAACACAGAAAAGCTCATACAATTTAATTCTTACTATGTAAAATGATTTTTAAGGGACATTTAATAGACCTGTCAAAATTTCTCATAGCTTCACTGTGCATCAAATAAGCCTAAATGATCTGATTCCTTTTAATTACCCATGTTCAATTGTTCCATCACCCATCTCTAAGAAAAGGAATCTATATTGGACTGAAAACCTCCTGCAGTCTTTACCATAAATAAACTGTTAACACTGATGGTGATAACAATATAAGAATAGTAGCTAGAAGCTATTGGCAAAATACAAGTTATTAGGTAATGATTCACTCAATTTGAAGCCAGTTATTCAGAAAATAAAGGAAAAACAATATTGTATTAAATCACCTTAAAGAAAAAAGTAAGAGAAAGTATCAATCAGTCTTGGAAAACTTTGGTTAGAAGCTTTCACATTAATAGTATATTTTCAAAAATATAATTTGGAGATTAGTAATGTTACTTACATTCTGAGTCAACTGGAAAATTAGACACATGAGCAGTAACAATAAATCCTTGTTTTAGGAGTGAAATAATTAGCTATGGGAGTGAAATAATTAGCTATGGGACCCTTTGTTTGAGGAGCCCAGTAAAGAAAGGACCATTCATTTCCCACATATTTACTATTTCATCATCAATTTTTTTTAGCAATATGATTGTTCAACTCATCACATATGTGATGCACAGTTTACAGTCTATCTGTTTCCACATAGTTTGTAGTCTCCATGCAATTGCAGTCTATCCGTAACTATCTATCCGTAACTGACTAATTACTGTCTATATGTTTCCATGTAGTTTGTCCTTAATTTATTCTAAAATTTTGCAACTAGGTAAGTAAACACCTGTAAGTGCCATACTAATATGTAAGTTTCATGCTTCATATTCCTGTAATTGCATTTCTCTAGAGAGGTCTAAGAAGCATTCAGCTGGTCTTAAACATTTAGCAGTTGAAACTATCCTCTTTTTATTACAGAAATACAATACTGCTATTACTTCTGGAAGAACTTGTCCCATCTTTACTTACTGTGATTGTGCTATGGTGCTGGCTTTTGCTTTTCATGAGTGACTCATATTTACAGAAAACTTATCAGTAAGGATTCCTGTGTGATCTAATTCCAGAAGGTATTTTGACATAGCAGAGATAGGCACTGTAAAGATATCTAGACAGCTAGTTTGAGAAGTAAATAATTTCTTATATTAAAAACCCTACAGTTATATGAAATTATATATCATCATTTCCAGCTTTCCTGAATGCCTACTCTTCTTCCTAGTTAGTGTAGTAGAAGTGATTTTATTATTACCCATTTTAGGTTTTCCAATATTATATTTAACTGATGATTTGTAAGTATTCCTGTTTTTAAGCTTACTTACACTTGAGGAAACATATTTGCTTCTCTTTAAAGCATGCAATTTAATAACTCTGGAAATATATTTGTATCCACTGTGCTGGATTAAAATAGCTCTGAAGTTAATTATATCACTTTCATTTTGAATTCATAAACGTATTTGATTTTCTTATTCTCATTCAGAGACTGGTATAGGAATTCTGTCCTTCTGAAATTAACTTTAACAAAAGCTTTGGTGGTATGAAAAAACGTTATGTTTGTTAGGACAGAACACAGAATCCACGGGGAAATGTAAAGTACTGGGGCATAAACTTGGTGACAAGGGAGTGGCATTAGCAAAACTTACTGCTTCTTGATACTGTTGAGAAGAGTATGTACTCAGGCAGATTTCAGGGCAGTCTTTACTGTGATTTGTAATATATAAGACATTAGCCTTCAGCACTGAATAGTATATTTCAGAAATCTAGGCTTATGTTCTTGAATTGAGTTTCTGTATATATTTCAGTGAACTTGTTCATGAACGTCATATTGATCTTGAATATAGTGAAGTATAAGTATAGCCTCATTTGGAAATTATAAACACAATGATCACAGCAGAGGGGTCTCCTAGACAGCCAAAATTTTAAGAATCATATTATTGTTGCTATAGAAGTGCTTGTGTTGAATAATTAAATGAAGTAAATTTGAAATCCTCATCCTATATCAATAACTGAAGTAAAAATGCCTTCAGCTGTTGCTTAGGTCATTACCAATAAAATCACTCCCTTTCTTCACCTAAAGTTTGGAAATTTAAAGAGGGCATAAAGAGAGCTGATTAATTACATTATTTAGGACAGCAAGAGGGTTGCACAGGTGCATACAACAAAAGTAACTACCTTATTCTATCATTCTTCCAGCTTTTGGAACTATAAAATGGTATTGTATCCAACCAAAGTAAAGCTGGAAATACGACTGTGCCCATGTTTTCATACAGAGGGTGTTATTTCATTGTCACCTTTCAGGTTAGACTATCAGTTTCACCACTATTACTCGCTGGAATAATGGATGTTCATTTATTCACATTTTGAACATAGAGCTGTTTAGTTAGTTTGCGATAAATCTGCACGAATCTCCTCTCTTCCTCATGCTTAACATCTCCTTTTATTATATCCAACATGATTATTCTTTCAAATATCTTTTTATAAATACACACACATATATGTGTATATAATATACATGTGTATAAATAAATAGGGAGAGAGAGATATATTTACATATATAGGGAAAG